ACGGTTTCAATCTCACCAACACATGCGCATCCGTATGTGCATACGTATGTACACCTATGTACAGACCGTATGTACATACATACGTACTCACTTTTGTACACGCACATGTGCACACAAATGTACACACGTATGTGCACAGTGAAACCTCTGAATGCCCGAAGGCTGCCCCCTTCGGGCTCAGGACATCAACTACGCTGTGCAAAGAAGTCGTACAGGTGTGTGCGCCTCTCACAACCGGCCGATTGCATCAAACTGAGGGAAATCGTCTTGCCATGAAGATCGCATAGGGTCCAGTGGCCTTTCTCCGGCCATCTGCAAAAGCTAACCAGTTTCTCACCCCACATCATTTCGCACGACCAGAATTCGCACGACGAAAAAGATTCCATGTCATAACACGTTTGACCCAGCGACGGCTACTGGTAGCAACGCGACGTACGAAGCAAACTGCCAATACTGACGCAAAGATTGTGTCGACCAATTTTCCAAACACAAACGTTTACGACAGTTTTGGACGCGCTCGTTCCACGAATGTACATTCCAATCCCCTCCACCAGGTGGTCGAAGCAAACGTCGGAGCAAGCGCCGAAATTCAACATCTATCTTGTGCAAATGCCGTGTGTGCACGGCACGGTGTCCAGAAGCAACGCACGCGACAGGTGATACCACCGATGGAAAGAATTCCAATCGACGAGCCAGGGAGATGTTCGCATCGCATGACCTTGCGAGCATTCTGCAAGTGCAAGTGAAAATCCAAATCGGCTTTCGATGCATCTGCAGGTTGGGATCTGTATGATGGGTTTGACACATCTTTCGACCTCCACTTCGCTGATGATATTTTATTGTGGCTTTGGTTTTGTATTCCCCGGGAACTGCTGTAAATGGTTTGGGGGCATGTCATCCACAGCGAGCTCATCGCATGTTGGAGAATGCTGGAGAACGTAAAATAGCCTGGGGCTCAACACGCATCCTTGGCGAACGCCAGCGCGAATACTGAAATTTCTGCTGTCAAACTGTCCGTTCACACATATATATATATATATATATGCACACATACGTACACACATATGTGCACACGTATGTACACCCGCACGCATGTACACATGCACACACATACATGTACAGACATGTACACACACAGCAACGCAATCACCAAAATCAAAGCTTTGCCGGCCTGAAACACTTGCGAGATGCCTGTATTGCCGCGTTGTTGGAGCGTAACACCGCTTGGCGAGCGCGAAATCGCAATCGTTCGCACGGCAGAACAATGTCTGCAGCAGTGGCAAGCGCACTTCCAGAATGCAGCCTCATTGAACACGGATAATTTTTGTCCAGCGAGAGTTGCTCGTGCACATCCGCGCACGCCGATCCCTCCTTTCACAGCGGCAGAGTTGCAGGCTGTGCTCCACAATTGCGAGTTTGGCAAGGCACTTGGGTGCGATGGCATTCCATACGAGGCGCTTGCATGTGATTTTGCATGCTGGACAAATGGGCCAGGCAGCCAGGCCTCGCGCGCGCGTATGTTGATGCCCTCCTTTTGGCCGGACCCGAACGCCTGGCCCTGTGCGCCCTGAGCCAACCTGCTGCGCACGGAAGGTTGGCATAACTGCTCCACTTGGGAGTCCTTCCTTGATGACTCGTGTGCATCTCCCCCTGCCCGGGACGCAAGTCCTGGTGACTGGCCCCACGGCTGGCAGTTCCACGCGTCGCGTACTCGCACCTCCTACTTTCGCGAACGCGTGCTGCTGCCGGCCCTGGAGCTCACCAGGCCCTGCTGCAGTCCCAGTCAGGGCCGCAGGCGGCGGCGTGGCTCACGCCGATCCCCACAGAGCACCCTCCCGCCAAACGTAATGCTGACAGCTCTGCGTCGAAAGCTCCGCGTGCCCTTGCCTTCAGGCTCGGGCGAAATGCGGTCATTCGGGGCAGGCAAAAGGCTCGACGCGTGAGAGAACCCCGCTCTACCTTGCACCCGCACCAGGCTGCTGGCAGGAGGGCGAAACTCGTCGCGTGGCCTGGCTCGCTGTCTGCCGCGAGGCGGTCGGAGCGGAAGGCCGCGTGGTGCCACAGCAGTGGCTGGCGCACACTTCGGCCCCAGGCGTGTGGCCGCAGGACCGCCGACGACTTGACCTGGTCGTGTACGGGGCATCCCCGCAGGGCATGGCCTTGTGCTGTAATGCTACTGTACGTATTTGAGCCCCATCAACACAGCCAGCACGCCTCATCCCCATGCGGCAGACACCCCCGGGATTGCCCTCCGCACGGCGGCAGCTCGCAAGCGCGCCACATACCCGGAGCTGAGGCGCGGCGGCGGCCAGCGGTTGTGCGTCCCTGCCGCCGAAGTTGGTGGCCGGTGGAATCAGGATGCGCGCGATTTGGTGCGGCAACTCGTGCGCGTCAGGGCGCTGCGCGCACCGCCCGCCTTGCGGGCAAGCGCCTCGTCAGCCTGGGCGCGGCGGTGGGGCATGCTCATGCTCTCTGTCGCCGTCCAGCGCTCCGTCGGCGGCACGGCACTGCTCCAAGCCTCGTGCGCCGGAAAGATTTTAGAGAGGCTAGTTTTGAATCGCATCCACCCAGTTGTTGACAAGTTATTGACCCACAAATGTACAATACACCGCGAACCTTGGCAGTTTTACAACTCTGGGTGGTCTGATGCTTGCGAGTTTGGCCTTTGGGTGCTGCTGTTGAGTTGATTGTGTTTTGCACTCCTGCATGCTCGCATGGATCATGTACATAATGGTTGCACTTTTGTTCTGATCGTGACGCACGATCGTTCGAGGACTCATATCTCGTTTGGCTGCGGCAAAAGTACCCGAACACGCAGCTGCCCGAAGCCACTGAATGCTTCGTTGGTTCGAGGCCCCACAAGTGTTCTTTGGTTCCACCAGAACAAATACAGCCCCCCACGCGTACGCGCAGTGCACATGCACACTTCGCAGGAGGCAAGACCGATAAAGACACCATGGTCAACGTGGCAACACTAGCGGCTGACCGAGCCATGCTGTGATGCGCTGTGCCCGCGGGCAGGTTGCACATATGGCAGGCTAGGAACGTTTTTGTAGGCGGGCCACGGGACATGTCCCATGGCCGCCCGCACAGGCTCGCAACTAGAAAACGGCCTCAGCGCAGGGTTGCTTGGGGGTGGGTGTCCGAGTGGCCCGGATGGGGCGAGCTGTGCGCCGGCTGATAGCACACTTGCGCAGCTCCGAAACCCAAGCCGGCCGCCATCGTACCAGATGCTGCCCACCGCGCAGTGCTGCTGTCGCCCTTGATGAAGAAGGTGGGTCCGAGGCTTCGCCGACGTGGCGCATTGCCGGCACGCGCGCATGTCTCCCAAATCAACTCACAGGCCATAGGCGTTGGATGTCGCGTGCCGCTGTCCAAACCCTCAGATGGGGTACCCCATCAGTTCGTTTTGTCAATCCAGGCCGGTATGGAGACCTTGGTGCACCCGCTGCAAGTACGTTCGCAAGCTGATCCATGCTGATCCTCAACTCACGGTAGTGTCAGTCGATGCCATTGCTGCGTATGACCTCGGCCGCCCTGCCATGTTGACAGGTTTGTCGGATGACCCTGAGCTGGCCGTGCTGCTGCCCTTCGCGCGTCAGGATTTCACTTATACTTGGTGTGCAGCGCCCTTGTGATAACTCATGCGGAAGGAGGGTGATCCCCTGATGCCAGGCATGTTCTTGGTTGCTTCCGTACCCTGACCTGCCGCCGTCCTTTAGGGGCGTAGCTGTGTTAGAGGTTCTTATCCTCCAAGAAGTCTTGGCCCGCAACAGCTCTCTGCTCGAGCAACTCCCGGTTTTGGAGGACGTGCAAGTTCCTTGGTTGTTGTTGTTGTCCAGTTGCGAAGCCCCTTTGGCCCACCATGTGCTCCGCACACTCCCCCCCATCACTGGTGCAAGTTTTCGCCGAAAGGCACGACTGGGCATCCAGGGCTACTGCGTTTAAAGTCCTCTCCCGTCGTGATCCCGTGTTTACTGAGGGGCTTCTCGGTTCACTCCAAGGGCAAGGGAACGCCCCTCAGCAACATCCTTGCCGACTCTTCCGAGGGTCCCGCCCTTGCCAGTCGACTGGCGTGAGCCGTGTGCCCGCTCCCCCATGTGAGATGCCCCCTGCACTGGCTGGGAAGGCGCTGACCAGTGGCAAAAAAACGCGAGAAAAAACAAACCAGTCAAGAAACTATACTTGGGCGAAACAGCCTAGACTAAGACCTCGCGCCCAAACCTCAAGCATGTCAAACTCACAGTGCATGCCGCCCGGCACACTGGCGTTGTGGGATGGTGAACCCTAGGCGGCGTACCATGAGGACAATGAGCAGCTTCGTTCCCTGGGAGGCACACGCTGTTGCAATATGTGTTAAAACTAATCTGTCGCTCGTTTGTGTTTTTTTTGGGTTTGCCGGCAGTGTCGCGCATCAGGACTACGATGTGCGGACATCCAGGCGAACTTCATTCATGACGGAAGGCGAGGTGGAAGCTGTGTATCCCCACACGTTAGCCACGCATGTCTCATGCACGTGCCACGAAATACATAAATCAAGAATCGGCAGCGGTTCACGTCTTCATCAGGGTGTTTTGTTAACCCTTTCCAAAGTCGTCGTCGCATTTCAGGGGGTGGACTGGCGATGTGTGGTTTGCCGGAAGATTGGCCCTCATGCCCTTGGCTGCACTATTCGGACCTGCACAAGTTGAGGGCGTGCCGAAAATGCATGTTTGCTTCGCCGCTGCTGGGAAATTCGCGGGCGGAGGTATCAAAGCGCGTCGCTTTGGGAGTTTGCCTGCGCAAACATCAGCTTTGGCAACTATGGCGGGGTCGTTTGGTTGCAGACAGGCAGTCGCTTTTTTGCGCAATATCATCTAACATCGGGGACATCTCTGTACAACTAAGGGAAATTCACGACCGGTTCGGCGCTCAGTTGCTTGCATGTTGAGGATTGTTGAGGGGCGACAGTGTTGTTGTCAGCTTCAATGAAGCGGTGGGCGAGGATCACCACGAAGTACATGTCTATGGTGGCATTGGAGAGCAAAACCCATCGGCTACTTGGCCCGGTGTTTGCCTGCATTTGGATGCATTCGACATGTTGTGTTGATACTTGGAGGTTCATGGTACGTATTATCCAATGATAATTGCGCTTATTAAAGGGTTTGTAGGTGGGTTATAAGTACTGGGTAGTAATAAGTACCACGAACCTCCAAGTAGGAGCCTGCATGATCTTAGGGGCCGGTGCATATTTGACCCATCTTCGCCACAACGAATTATTTTTGATCTGATGGCGATGGTATTTCTGCTTTACGACTTGTGCTTCACGCCTGTGACCATTGCCTGGGATTTCCCCATGGTGGGATGGCTGCTGCAGCTTGGCCATGGCTGTGCGAGTGCACCGTGCGACACAATTGCCTCAATGCAAGTTCCATCGTTCCATGCTTTGTCACTTGTCCCAGGTACTGTACTTCGGCAGTTGCGGTGTTCTGGACGCTGGACATAATCATGACGTGCAGGACGGCATACTACGTGGCAGGCTTGGCGTGGACAGATGTTTTGGGGACGGCGACCCATGCAACATTATTATGATATTAGGGACAAAGTATGCGCGCCCTATAATTATAGAATAAATTGTGGGGTCTTTGTGTGCGTGCACGAATGTATGAATAAACACGTGCGTTCCGGAGTTGTTTATTCACACAGTTCGTTGTCCCAAAATCCTATTGACAAGCAAAATAGCAGCAGTGTTCACCCATCACACCTTGAGACAACATCTGTTCACCTGTCGCTAATACGATGCTTGTGAACTAACTCCCGGATTAACCGTATCATGCTGGAACTTGGGTGGTTTCGTGAACTGACTCAAAGAGCGTGCCACCTTTCTATCTTCGTGCATCACTCATCACATGCACCCCTTACCAGTTAATATGAACCGTTCTCTGAATCACCCCTAAGAGCCCACCCTCAGTACCTGAAACCTGTTAATAGGATGTTAGGCTGGATCTGGAGACAGAATCCTTTCCAGGTACGTTTTTCATTTTTCTATCAGCAAGTACCCGAAGCCGAAATCAGTTTAGATGCATGACAACTCCACCCTAGTGGGTCGTGAAAGAGATTTGTCCTCGAACGACTATTGGCTGCGGTCAGACAGTTGCCCGTTGAAACTGACTTTTTGGCACACTGGTCAAATCCATTGGGCAGGCAAGCTGGAGCCGGTGGCTGAGATTGTTGTTGAGCGAGCCAGCGGTTCCTGCGTTAGGGTTTAGGGTTTAGGGTTTAGGGTTTGCTTGCACGCGCCAAGGACCCGGCCGTTGATGATATTCCGGAGATATTGCAGGACCCGTTGCAAGGGCACCGGTCCAGCACGCCCCACCAGCCTGACGCGAATTTGGATAAGTTTGGGCTGACAAGGACCACGTTCTTCTTGGATCTGTTCATAGCAGCTTGGGTATGACCGTTCTGGCACAAGCACGGTTCATGTGTGCCGACTGCCTGAGTGAGTTTGTTTGTGGATTGCGGGAATCCTCTCGCAAGGTCTGTGTTGATTGGCTGACGGTCTTCGCCAACAGTGTTTTCCCAGAGGAGACTTCGTCCCAGGCCCTTAGGGTTAAGGTTTAGGGAAGTTTGAACCCCAGGGTTCGCATGAAGCACTGGGTTGGTTGGCAGTACTGCAGAACTAAGATACAGGCTGAACTCCATATCATAAGCGCCAATCGTGCGTACCCTGACCCTGTTTGCCCTACCGTAGGGCAGACACAGTAGCCCGAAACACGCATCAGGGAGGTTTATGGTGAAACTGTTCTTGCTCAGAAGTAGCTCGTTCTTTTGTGTTTGGCGGGGGGGGGGGGGGGGGGGGAGGAGGAGGGATTAAGGCTCAATCGATAGGAGTTGTGAGTGAATGTGTGAATTCACTCCGGCCCTGGGGTTTGCATCTGCCAAAGTACCGCCCTAAACCGTCAACCCCAAACCCTAAACCCTAACATCATCTTTGCTTTCCTGCTCAACGCTGAGCCCTGTCGCTGGAGAAGCTCTTGCAAGCACCAAAGTCCGATGTCTGCCAGGTTGATTTTTGATTTTGTTTCCTGGGTTGTGCTTGAAACCCTGTGACATTTATTGATGAATAGGTTCCCTGATAAGCAAGTTTCTCTTTAAACGGTTTAGGGCTTAGGGCTTAGGGTGTAGGGTTGCAGATCGAGCTTGGTGCTGCTATGCCTCCGCCTGCTTGCAATGCAGCTCCGATCGTTTCGAGGAGTTGCCATTAGTTTTTGCTGGCCCTTTGTAGTTATTTTTGTTGGTTATTCTTTCCTGCCATGTTTTGCCAAGGCAATCTGAGCAAAACCAAAAAAACGGAGCAAGCCCCGGCAGTCCACCTGGCTTGCGCGAAGCCGGGAAGCATACCGCTTGCGAAGCAAGCCCAACCGGTACTAGGACCCAGAGTAGGCCCGTGTTCCTTTTTTAAGTGTTTAGGTTCCCTTAAGAAGCCCCTTTAAGCCAAAAAGGGCACTCTTCTTTATTCCTAGGTTACTCCTGGGCCCAGGGTACTCGCAACCCTTGCGACAGGCCAGCGACAATCCGGAAGTCATCGGCTCCCTGCCTACGTTGGGCGTATAGGGTTTCGGGCGTAGGCTACGTAGGGTTTAGGGTTTAGGGTTTAGGGTTTAGGGTTTAGGGTTTAGGGTTTAGGGTTTAGGGTTTCGGGCGTATGGCTGCAGCTCCTTTGGTTACTTTCTTTTGCTTGCAGCGGGGGAAGGAGGTGGTAAGGCAGCCCTTCCATTCGGGTTGTTTTTAGGGTTCAGGTTCAGGATTTAGGCGGATCTAGGGTACAGCAGGGTTCAGGACCTTCTGCCCCAGCATGTAAGTCGAGTTCAGAAAGGATCTCGGCATGTCGGGAGCATTCCGTTTATTCCAAGACTTTTTCCGGTTTCGGGTTAGGGTTCATGGTTTGCGCACAGGGTTACTTCAACAGGCAGTTCATGCTTTTCCCTTCCTGCAGCCTTCCACTTTGCCAAGTAAGCCCCAGACCCTAAACCCTAAACCCTAAACCCTAAACGCTAAACCCTCAACCCTAAACCCTGAACCCCAAACCCCAAACCCCAAACCCCAAACCCCAAACCCTAAACCCTAAACCCTAAACCCTGAACAGTTTGATTCTCAACGTCATGTCGAGGTGCCAAGCTCGTCCGATTCTCCAAGGCGACACGGGTAGTCCGCATCGTGAGCGTGACTTGCCTGTTCCGGATTTTCTTGTTTTGGAGGCTTAAATTCCCGAACTTGGAGTTACACAAGTTTGATGGGAAAAATTGTTCTTTAGTTGGGATATATAAAGGGGTACTTCTTTTTTTTTGGGGGGGGGGGAAATGCCCTTATATCGCAGGTCGCCACATGGAAGGCACCTTCGACACCCACGCAGTGCACCCATTGTCCGACCCGCCAAGGTGACGCGGGTTGTCCGGATCCAAATTTACCTGGAGCACCCTGGCTTCACAAGAGGCTTCGCAAGAGCTCACATCGGAAAGATAGCATGGGATGGGGCCTGCATACATACGCATATATATATATATATACATATATACATATATATATATACATGCATACCACGGCCCGCAAGCCACAATCCCACAAGCGAAACTCCCACAATCCACAGTCCCACAGTCGTACAATCCCACAATCCCGCAATCCCATGGTGGGATTGCGGGATTGTGGGATTGTAGGACAGGATCGTGGGACTGTGGGATCGTAGGATTGTACACTTGTGGGATTGCTGAAAGGGGAAAAGGGAACGTGCAACCTTGGAAGTTTGGAACCTGGAACTGGCCTTAGCTCTATTAAAGAAAGCTGTCTTGGTACATCTACGTAAAGAAATCATAGACAAGGATAATTTCAAGTGTTTAAAACTGTTTGACTATTTGTTTAATTCAAACTATTCTTAATTCGGTTGATCCTGGATCCAGAGTTCATGCAATCCAAAGATTTCACCCCATCAAAATCAATTTAACTAATGTAAAAACAGACAACACAAAACGTTGGTCCATTCTAGTGTTCTGATCATTTAAAGAACCTAGTCATCTTTTTACATGACTTAACTGACTTGACTTAACAAAAACAACAAGCAGGCCAACCATTTTTTGTTTCTGAGTTTTGCTAGTTTACCAGATCATTTAAATTAAACTTCAATCCGATGAAACCCTGGATCCCGAGCTAACAGAGTCCGCAGATTCCGCCCGTTTAAAGTTTTCACATTCTTCTTGAGATCAATCCAACTTTTACATGTGGTGGAATCCCGGATCCAGAGTTACCGAAATTCAGAGATTTCACTCGGTCAAAACCAATGTAAGTACTCAATGAAAAGCACATAAAGCCCAACGTTCAAAAACAGAATTGCCGTCCATTCCATTCTTCCAACGCAAATTATGAATAAAGGGGCCACCCGACGGAATTAATTGAATGGAAAGAATTTAGGCATGATTAACAAATGCGACAAACCAGTTTCATTTTCGTCTAAATCTGGTATAAATACGTAAAAAAGCTGTATTTAAACCAATACTATCTTTCAAACCGGAATCCGGTCGAGAACTTAAGCATACGCAGGTTCAGTGGTACGCACCCATCAAGGCTACAATATGTATGACACAGAGTAGAAACACCGTAAATACCGATGGTTGGTGGCATTGAACAAAGTAAGAAAGACAAAAGACAGAAGTATGTATAGGAAATATAATACAAAGTGTGGTCTTGGGTGGGGGGAGGGGGGGTAACCATACATGTATACATAGATACATATATATATATATAGCAAAGTATGTATACATTTATTAGGGTTTAGGGCAAAGTTTAGGCTTTGGGGTTTAGGGTTTGTTGTTGGAGGGGGTATACACCCTCGACCATCCCAAGCCCTACGAACTCAAACTTGGGGACCCCGATGACGCATGGTGTGATGTGGGTGTGGGATTGGTAGGGTTTGGGGTTTGGGGTTTAGGGTTTAGGGTTTAGGGAGTCATGGAGAAAATTTTGGGGGGGAGCGGATGGGAACAAGTTGACTTAGAGTTGGGATCCTACAAGTCGGATGTTTCAAGGCAGGTCAATCAAGGGGCTATGGTAGTTTTGAGTGCGCCGCAAGTGTCAGTTCTCAGTCTTCGGCCATGCGGCCGAACGACGGCTTGGATAGGGACGCTGATGCTACGGCTCCTAGCCGCCCTAGACCCTACCTATGCTCGACCCACGAGCACAGCTCAAAAGAGTCTCAAAAGGCAAAAACGCAGCACCGACCCCTGAACATCCCCCTAAGCCCTTGAGGCCCGTAACGCTTACATAATTTCTCAACTTCTGCGAGGGGCCCCTACCCAGACCGCTGAGAACCCGAATAAATCCTAATAAGTCCTAATAAGCCCTAAACCCTAAACCCTAGCCCTAAACCCTAGTCCTAAACCCTAAACCCTAAACCTGAAACTCTAAGCCCCAGGCACCTTGGAGATCGGCTGCATGGCGGTTCCTCGTCGATGCTTGGCTTGACGGCTCATTATGTCGGAGTTTGGTTGGGTTTAGAGAAATTGTAGACAAATAACTTGGAACTCAGAGGCTTAGTGAATTGAATTTTGGCCTTCTGAAGGCGCTTTGATTACCTAAGCTCGGCTTGTCAGCTGTTTGGTAACATGGGACATTCACGATGGTACCACATACAAATTCTATTTACCCTGGTCTTGAGGGTTTAGGGTTTAGGGATGAGGGTTTAGGGTTTGGGGTTTGAGGTTTGGGGTTAGGGTTTTGAGTGTAAGGGGTGGTCCTGCAACGCTGAGCGTGAGTCTTCGGACTACCTTGGGCCCATAAAGTCGCACCAATTGAGTTAGGAGACCCTTTTACAGATCTACCAAAAAGGCTGGTTGGGGGTGGGGGGGCGGCGTTGGTCGCGGAAGTGGCTGATGGTACATCCATTTGTGGCTTACGGAGGTTTTTTTGTGGATGCTGGTTTCGGACCTATATTCCCCCTGATTTTTCAAGAAGGTTTTGAGCGGTTTTTGCGGACGATGGTTTCGGATATCTTATATTTCCTCTCATTTTCAAGAAGGTTTCGAGCGTTTTGACATCTTTCCCCCCCTCATGTTCAAGAAGGTTTTAGAGGTTTAGGGTTTAGGGTTTAGGGTTTAGGGTTTAGGGTTTAGGGTTTAGAGCCGCAGGAAGTACGTGGGCGACATGGCTCGCTTGGTCGATCCCTCAGTTGCTGTTTGGTCATTTGCCACTTAGGGTTTAGGGTGTAGGGTTTAGGGCTTAGGGCTTAGGGCTTAGGGTTTAGGGTTTAGGGTTTCCTTGAACCGATTTGCATATCAAAGCCCCACCATGCCCCGTGGAAGAGTTGCAGGGAAGGACGCCCTCTAAAATATGGTAGCCAACGCAATGGCAAACACAATAATCATAGACTAGAAATTCTAGAATGCTGCTTTCGCCCCCTAAACCCTAAACCCTAAACCCTAAACCCTAAACCCTAAACCCTAAACCCTAAACCCTAAACCCTAAACCCTAAACCCTAAACCCTAAAAACCCTAAACCCTAAACCCTAAACCCTAAACCCTAAAAACCCTAAACCCTAAACCCTAAACCCTAAACCCTAAACCCTAAACCCTAAACCCAACCTAACCCTAAACCCTAAACCCTAAACCCTAAACCCTAAACCCTAAACCCTAAACCCTAAACCTAAACCCTAAACCCTAAACCCTAAACCCTAAACCCTAAACCCTAAACCCTAAACCCTAAACCCTAAACCCTAACCTAAACCCTAACCCCTAAACCCTAAACCCTAAACCCTAAACCCTAAACCCTAAACCCTAAACCCTAAACCCTAAACCCTAAACCCTAAACCCTACACCCTAAACCCTAAACCCTAAACCCTAAACCCTAAACCCTTATCAAACAATTACAGTAGAGTCTGAACACGTGTGGTATTTCAGCACACCCCCCGCACACAGCCAACGACAGGATTCTGCATGTCCCAAGCTGTCGCGAGTCAACGCACCCAACTCTCTGAAACTGCAACCTCCCCCTCCAATCCAAATGGGCCTCAAAGTCAGGGCCCCCTTTGCGGGTCCTGATTTTAAGGGTGCTGTGCCCTCCATACGGGACCCCAAAAGGGACCCGATAATTTAACTAGAGGGCGTGCCCAAAGTCGAAAGCAGAGCGCTGGACCCTTAGATCGTCATCATCATCTGGATTAACCACGTGATGAGCTGCACTTGGTTCTACATCGGCCGCGTCGCTATCGGTGACACGGGCCTCTAGGATGCACGGTTTGCCGGGGAGGAGCTTGAACTTTAGGTTTCCAGAAGATGGTGTAGGGAGACTCTTCTGGCTTAACCTTAGCTCCTGAACAGCTTCTTCACATCAGCTCACTAGATGAGCTCAGCTGACCAGGGGGGTCGAGAGAGTCGTGGACTCAGGGCGATTCAGCTCTTTAAGGTGGAAAGATTCCATTACCCACCCTGTAGGACCCAGACCCGCAGCTTCTTGAACCCGAGTATACCATTCAACCGTTCTCCGAGTTCTCTGCCTGAACACTGCCCCCTTTTTTCGCCAACAAAAAGAAATCTGGGAAAGGCTCAGCAAGCGAAAAGACCGCAGGCAGGAGTAAACTACAGTCTAAGCCCTGAAAGCCCGAAACCCTGAAATCCTGAACCCTGTAACCCTGAACCCCCCCCTCACCCCCACCCAAAACAAAAAACAAAAACCTACACCCGCTAAACACCCTAAACCGCTCCTAAACCGCTCCTAAACCCTAAACCCTAAACCCTCAACCCTAAGCCCTAAGCCCTAAGCCCCAAGCCCCAAGCCCTAAGCCCTGAGCCCTAAACCAAGGTACGAGTTGGCTGAACGACCCGATCCGGGACGAGACTAGCCCCCTCTACTCGGAGACCCTGCCGTCGCATGCCTGAAAGAATTTGGGGCTTAGGGCGGTTTAGAGCTAAGGGGGAGCCAGGCCCTAAACCCTAAACCCTAAACCCTAAACCCTATAAACCCTATAAACCCTATAAACCCTATAAACCCTATAAACCCGATAAACCCTATAAACCCTATAAACCCTATAAACCCTACAAACCCTATAAACCCTATAAACCCTATAAACCCTCAACCCTCTCAACCCTAAACCCTAAACCCTATATAAGCGCCTCAGCCACGTCCTGCGCGGTGTCTGGCGATTGGGTCCATGTGGAAGTCCTGATGTGCGAATGCCTTGCAGCATCTATGAAAAGCTATGGACTCCATTCCTGTAGGACTCGACACAACTACCCCAGAGAAAACTCGATGTGCATAGGCCCCCACTCCCCCCGTATCTGCCGCAGCCAACGGAAACTCGGGGCCTAAACTCCTAGCCAGAAACCCCAAACATAAACTCTAACCTAAACCCCAAACCCTAAACCCCAAACCCCAAACCCTAAATCCTACACCCTAGACCCTAAAACCTAAACCCTAAACCCTAATCCCTAGACCTAGGCTTTTCCAGTACACAACGGCCTTCCACTGGGCGATCACGCAGATGACGCCTGGCTCTATGCAGGCGCGGGAGAGAGAGTGATGGGCTTGCTTGGGTTTTTGGAGGGTCTTCCGGGTTTAGGGACTAGGCATCAGGGTTACGGCACAAAGGTCCCCATGCGGTGTTTTAAGGTTGTTAGGGGGTTTAGGGGTTTAAGTGTTTTTGTGCTTAGGATCCTGAGGAAGTTGCCCAACAGCAGGGCGTCCCTTCATACCTCCAAATCCAGCAGGGTTTAGGGTTTAAACCCTCCCAAAAGCCTACTAAACCCTACCAAAACCCTACTAAACCCTCCCAAAAGCCTACTAAACCCTACCAAAACCCTACTAAACCCTACCAGAACCCTTAAGCCCTACTAACCCCCCCAACCCAAAACCCTGACGAGGTCTTCCCGCGCAACTCGTGCTGGCCCCAGACGGGAGACGGCGGGCCCACAAACCTTTACATGCCCATTTTGCAAACCCTAGATCGGATTTAGGGCTATTAGATCCTAGATCGGGTTTAGGGCTAACCCTAAATTCTTCCTGGTGGGTCCCTTTGTCTTTTGCCGTTATAGAGCCTCATTGACCTTTGTATTTCTGGGTTGTAGGGGATCCCAGAGTAGTGCTCATTGACCTAGGTTTCGTGCACGTTCCTCCTGCCGACGGTTTGGTGCGTGAGTCAAGTTTAGTGAATGCAGGATGATGCAAGTCAAACCAAGGGTGAGCCTCTCTCAGGCGCTCTCAGCTAGCAATACCCGAGTGTTAAACAATTGCCAAGATGATCCCCTCACTATCGAAGGCTGGTATGGACTGTTCCAATTGCAAGCGCTTGAGCACGCCGCGTCGGCAGCCGGGCTGACCCAACGCGGGGTGTGCGTGCGAATCGCACAGGAAGGAAAGCCAAGTCCTGCTTGTTCTAGACGCCTCTCGGCCAGAAGCCGAGGCGAATAAATCAAAAAGTGAAAACCTAAACCCCAAGCCCTAAACGCTAGCAAGCCAGAGCACACTGTCTTTGCTTAAGTCCCCCGGTCCCTAAACCCTAAATCAACCCTAAACCCTAAACTCCAAACACCCTAAATCCTAGACCCTAAGCCCACAACCCTGGAGCCTAGCTGGTCTGACTTGGCCGGTTGATACGAAGCCCATGCGGAACTCACACGAACATACACTCACGCACTAGAGCTCTTAGACCCCACGAGGTTCAGGGTTTAGGGTTTAGGGATACTTGACGGTTCATGGATGGTTCATGGGTGGCTAGAAGTAGGGCAAAACATAATTCAGCCTGCATGAGAACCCTAGTTAAGGTACTTATAACCTCACTCATAACTACCCATGCACCTTCAAGTAAACCATACCCTACTCCTTGATTGCTTGAACACGTGGGATCCAAACACCCTAACGGCCCCAACATGCGAACACAGTGCAGACAGGCTGGAGCGGCTGTTCAACATCTTCGCGTTGGTCTTCGGCATGCGGCTCGTCCGCGCAAGCTCCTCCTGGAAGGTGTAAGTTTAGGGTTCAGGATTTAGGGTTTAGGGTTTAGGGTTTAGGGGTTAGGGTTTAGGGTTTAGGGTGTATGGTCCCCCATCCCTTTTCCGGACAGGTGAGGAGTTTTTGAGTTGGGTGGCGATTCTCGCTTTTGGGCAGTTGGCCTTGGTAAGGAATAGCGGCTACTATAGACTACCATTTGCTTAAGAACCCCGAAGAAAAACTAATAATACCTATATAACCCTTAATAAGGAATGATATTTTCATTTTTCGGTGTTCTTAAGCAATTAGTAGTAGGCAGCGGCTACTATAGACAGCCGAGTTGTCATGTGTAGTTGGGTTGCAGGTGCCCAGAGAGCCCGAAACCCCACAGCGAAAAAATCAGTGCCTGAGGATCTTCTTCAGCTCCTTAATCTCATCGCTCTCTGCGACGATGGCCGGGCTGGGGCGCGTTTGGTTCGCAAGTTGTGTGGCCGCAACCCTAAACCCTGAACCCTAAACCCTAAACCCCTAAACCCCTAAACCCCTAAACCCCTAAACCCCTAAACCCCTAAACCCCTAAACCCCTAAACCCCTAAACCCCTAAACCCGTAAACCCCTAAACCCCGAAACCCCTAAACCCCTAAACCCCTAAACCCCTAAACCCCTAAACCCCTAAACCCCTAAATCCCCAAGCCCCGAGGCATGGATCTTGTCTTGAGTCCTAATCTGCGGCCCAATGAACTACAGAATGCCATCCTGGCAGGTTGCTTAAATCGGACAAGGTGTTCCCCCCTTTTCCCAACAGTCCTGAATAGGGATTACAGTACCCTCTATTATTTTTTTATTCTTATTTTTATTCTTATTATTATTCTTACTGTTATTATTATTGTTGTGATTCTTCTTCTTATTATTATTAGTATGACGATCCCTTTTTAAGGATGCGAAGTGCTGCTGGTGCCGGGTGCAAGCAAGCTTGACACAAACCGCGCACTGCAGCCTACCCTCTTACTGTCGAATCCTTTTTGGGGCCTTGCTGAAAGGATTGATTCGGGGACGGGGCCTGCTTTGGAGGCTTGTGTGCGCCGGTAAGCAAAACTTGTAGCCAACTTCCACATATCTTCACCAAACCCACGAAACCAGGCATCAGAAGCATGTCAATGTTTTGATGCAAGCTCGAGGTTGGTTCCTTTGGACAGAAAACACCCAGCATGGGGAAGCTTGAATTGCTGAATCTGAGGAAGCCCTCGGCCTGAACCAGCCAAAACATTTTGGCCTCGACCCTCAAACCCTAAACCCTAATCCCTAAACCCTAAACCAGGAGGGAAAAAAACCCTAAACCCTAAATCCTAAACCCTAAACCTAAGCCCTCCAAACCCTCAAGCCCCCGACCCTGCGCAGGTGAACTTCCGAATGAAGAGCACGCAGACGGCGAATCAGACCCTGGAACTGAAGCGGTTTGGGGTTTACGCTTAGGGTGGAAGTGCCTCAGTTCTCAGGGTTAAGAGTTTACAAGGGTTGATGAGGTTGATGACTCACGACGGTTTTGCCTAGTGCCTCACGATGCCTCGAGGCGCAGTAGAGCACCCGCAAAAGCCGTACAGCACCACCCCCGTCAGGTCCCGGTGTTGCCTTCGCATGTTGCTCTCAATTGCGAACTGGAGCTCAGGGATTAAAGCGACAGGGTAGCGGCTTTGGGTTTAGGGGTTTATGGCACGTCTGACGACCAAGAAAAGAGAGAGAGAGAGAGAGAGACGGAGAGACACGGAGAGACATGGAGAGACACGGAGAGACACGGAGAGACACGGAGAGACAGGGAGGCACAGGGAGGCACAGAGACAGAGTCAGAGAGATCGAGAGCACGAGAGGCCGAGAGATAGATGGAGGAACTCCTCACATTTAGGTTCTCCAGCATAGACTCCCTTAAGCCAAATCAGCTAGCACGCGAGAGTTCTGGGGCTTCGGTACTTCAGCCTTGACATCGTTCGCGCTTTGCGTGCTTGCAAACTCAGGATGGCGGAGCTGCGCCGATTTTTGCGGCAGGCTGGCAGGGTTTAGGGAGTTTAGGGTTTTCCCTAAACCCTAAACCCAAAAAAAAGGATTAAGAGGTGGTCTCCCCCCCAATTCGGTCCGTCCCCGCCTCTTTGTCTGGGGGCACTGGGTAGATGTTAGGGGCCATGCTTCGAGTCTCGACTGGAGTTCTCTTCAAGGAATTCAAGAGGTTTAGGGTTTAGGGTTTGGGGTTTAGGGTTTAGGGTGTTCCAAAGTGCCGCGGTCCCGACCCGCGCCAGTGGTGGCGGGTCGGG